GTTACATCCAGTAAAACTTAACCTGGCCAATATCAGAACGGCTCTCCGTGGTATTTGAGATTGGCAGTGACATACTATCAAACTGATCTAATTTTTTTGAATTTCACTTACTTGCCTCTGCATATCTTTCAAAAGGAGGTTTAGTTTACAGAACTCAGAGTTCTCTAACAGAACATCTTTCACCTGTATCACAGGAGTGAGATCTGCACTCAAACCATTTTGAGAGCTAGTAGTTGATACTGTATTACCAGGCGGTAATGCAGTTATAACCGAATTTAGCCACTATCTAAAACAATTGTGTTTCTACGAACACGTTTTTTAGAGATTTGGACCATAATTTCAAGAATTATATGACAATAAGCAGTAAATAAATTTCAGAGCAAACACGTGCAAAAATGTCACCAATTTCGAACGTACCGCCAGAGAGATTTATGGGTGGACCATTAAAATCATCAACTGTAGAGTCAGTAAACTACTACGGTCTGGTCATTCAGAAGAACACCATGACAACGCTAAGGCAGTCAGTGTTGTGATACTGTGAACAGTGGCAGCCAGAGTCCTAAAGTAGTGGAAACCAGTCTCCTACTGCAGGATAATGACGCATAGACACGACTAAAAGCGAATGCAGGTCACAAATATTCAATGCCATGCACAATGCCAAAAACAACCTGGAGGAAGATAAGAGGCAAGATTTATACAGATAGCTACACGCAGTAAAGCATAACATCCCGAATGGCGACATCAAAATCCTCATTCTCAATATGCATGACAACCGAACTAAGAGTGCAGACAACATAGGGAGAGAATTTATCACAGTTCGAGAGGCCTTTGATGAAATGAATGAGGACGGAGAACACTTCGCTGACTTCTGGTCCTTCAGTGATTTGTTGATCGGAAACAGCATGTACAATCATAAGGACATAACACAAGACGACATGGAGTTCACCCAACGGACACACCAAAAGCCAGACAGACTGCATCTCAATCACTAGAAAATGGAGACGCAGTCTCCTGGACATGAAATCGAGAAGGGGAGAAGATGTGAACTTAGACTGTTATCTGGACCGAGGAACCCGTAAGATCAAGCTGAAACAAATCTGAACAAATGGAAACAGACAACTCATCAAGTTCAACACTCAGAAACTGAAAGACCTAACTATAGAAGATACTTTCACTGCAGCCATCAGAGCGAAGTCGGAGACACTATGTGGTGTCAATCAGGAAACCTGTATGGAAGAACATTTGAACTAACTCTCTGAAGGTGATGTTCGAGGAAACGTGTATAACTGTTCTAGGAAGAAAAAAGAGACACGACAAGGAATGGTTGTCTACGAATACCTGGAAGCTAGTAGAAGCGAGAGGAGTTGGTGGAAGAGATGACTCAATGCAAAGACGGACAATAGAAGGAGAATCTGGTTTCAACGTACGTTGCATTGAATAAAGAGGTGAAGAGAGGCGCTGGGAAATACAAAAGACAATTCTACGATACACCAGTAACTCAGGCCGAACAGGCAGGGAGCAAGTAAAAGAGACATCAGAACATTATACCAGATAACCAGATACCTGTCCGGAAAGAGATGAACCCAGAAGATGAAACCAATAAAAGATAATCAAGGGAACCTGATTACCAAGGAGGGGAAACAAATAAAACAATGGGCTGGTCACTTCGGAGGACTCTTGAATCAGCCATCACCTGAGACTCAATCAGAAACACCACCACCAACAACAGACACAGAACTTCCTGTGGACAGCAATCCTCCGATAAAAGCAGCAGTTTCGAATGTAACCACATTACTGACAGCCAGTCGGGAAGGCGACAGGACACAAAGGAACTCCTCCCGAAGCGCTGAAAACTGATCCAGATATCTCAGTGGATATTCATACGCCATTATTGTAAAAGGTTTGGAAGGAAGGAAAGGTACTTACTGACTGGAAGAAAGACTACCTCGTCCGACTACCGAAGAAGGGAAACTTGAGTTTCTGCAATAACCGGGTGGAATCACACCCTTGTCCACGCAAAGTAAAATACTAAGTCGCGTCATCTTGGAGGGAATGAAAGATGCACTGGATACAGAACTCCACCCCACACCCAGAACAAGCTAGATTCAGGAAACGCAAGTCATGTGTTGATCAAATCGCAACTCTACGCATCATCATCACAGAACAAAGCATAGAATAACATTCAAACCACTCTCAGCATCAACTTTATCGATTTCGAAAAGGCCTTCCACAGACAGTGTTGACCGTGAAGTACTTTGGAAACTGCTTCAACGCTACGGCATGCAGTGCCACAAGTCATTATCAACCTCATTCAACAGCTTGTTATATGACAATGCCACGTGTCAGGTGATCCACAACGGAACACCCAGCGAGGCGCTCGAAGTGAATACAGGAGTACGACAAGGCTGTCTGTTATCACCGATGATATTCCTAACTATAGTGGTTGACTGGATTATGCGTCAGATTGTTGGGGGCGAAGTTTCAGGAATACGCTGGACGACCGATAGGAAGACTAGAAGACGTGGATGTCTCAGATGATATGTCTGTCACACAAACTCGAAGACTTGCAAACGAAAACCAACTAGCTGGCCGAAAAGGCTGTGAAGACAAGACTCCAGGTGAACGCAGGAAGGACAGTGATGAAAATAACCAATCAGCAACGACAATCACCGCCAATCACTGTCAACAGGGGAGATTTAACAGATGTTGCCTCCTTCACTTATCTGGGAAGCATCGTTTCAACTACAGGCCAGCGGAATAAGCGAAGATGTCTAAGTCAGAATTGGAAAGGTAAGATGCACCTTCATCAGCCTGAAACCAGTTTGGAAATCTTCCGCTGTCACTCAGCCTAAGGAGCAGGATTCGAATATTCAACACTAGTGTCCAATCGGTTCTTCTATACGGATCAGAAACTTGCAATGCGTGTCGCGAAAAGGATTTCAGACAGGCTGCAGACTTTCATCAACAGCTGCCTTTACTCCATACTGAAGACCAGATGCCCAGAAAGAATTAGTAAGGAGAAACTCTGGCTGGGATAAAGCCAACCGAGAGCCAGTTACTTAGCAGATATGTAGGAGGTAATGGAGATGGATCGAACACACATTGAGGAGACCGTCGAATGATATCGCGTGCTGGGTCATTGCTTGAGTGGAATCCAGATGGGAAGTGAATAGTGGGTTGTCCTAAGGTGACATGGAAGAGATCGTGTTTGAAGATGAGAGACTATGAGCTACAGTGGAACCGGGTGAAGAGGATACCAGAAAATAGAAGAAAGTGCAGATGTGTCGTTGAAGCCCTATGCCCCACTGGAAACCCAAAGGAATAATAATATTTTTTCCACACCGTATATTTAGTACAAGTATGGAATTTTTAGCATGGATATCGGTAGCACAAATTTTGCAGGCCGGCCATAGATATCAGGTGTTAGTCGGCAGGGGATCGAACCTCGGACCATGTGCATTGGTTGGCGAGAGTCCTAACCACTGTGCCACCGACGGCATCATACAGATGCGACTAAGAGTATCTTCCGCTTACATCCTGTTGGTGTGGTGGTGACTTAGCTTGCCACCTTCAATAGGTTTTCTCATGTCCGTTTATTTAGGAACATCAGATTGTATTCCCTTGCACAATGAAATGGACGAATCCATTCAGTATGTATATGCATAAAACTGTGAATAAAGAAATGCCATCCTTTTAGTATTTCATGTTCTTTAAATATAACAAGTAAAAAGAGGCTTGACACTTTAACTGCTATGGACACAGAAAATGTAGGAATAACTGTTGTGAAAGTCCATGCCAAAGCTAATCAAAGCTGCTACAAAAACACCTTTGAACGACAAATATGGAAACAATTATTGATGCTAAGTTGAGAAAAATAGTTAAATAGTGGTCACCTAGAAGTACTCAAAGAATATTCACAGCTTCAGAATATTACTGCATGAAACAGATACTCGAGCATCTAGCCAGACACCAGGTGCACTCACGCTTAGAAACCATGTTAACCATAGTTATTAAAACAATAGACCCACAATTTAGCAAAACCCTCAAAATCAGGACAGCAGTAATTGTTGATAATACAGTGAAAACCGTTCACAACTGACTTGTAAAGCATATAGCAAAGTGCTAGCTAACTAGGTGAATACACAAGTGCTGCATGCGAGTAAACTCCGCCACTCACCGTCAAAGATTACATTCACAATCAAAAAGGACAGAGCAAATACTAACGCGTATGTGTATAGTGTCTTCATTCCACTTAAGTTAGTATGCACACAAAAAATGAAGTTATTTGAAAAACCAAAATACTCAAAATATAGACGTCTAAAATAATTGTCCTTTTCTTGAGTATACAGATCTTCAACTACACTTCAGAGATGCCAACTGCCGAAGAGTACTTCCGTAGAAAAAAGTAGATTGGAGTGAAGTATCCTAATGTGGATGCGTCGATTAGTGCGAGGCCGAGTTGATTGGCAGATGTGATAAGCGAGAAGCTGGAGAGAGGGAAGCTTCGTCCGTTTGTGCACGGAACAAGGTTGCATCCTTGTTCAATCTCACGTAACAACCACGATTTTATTTGAATTACTTATTTTACTATTTTTCGGTGAACGTACAATTTGGTATGTTTTCCGGCCACCACACAGGGCGGTGGGGCTTCCTCTAATTGGTCGTCTGTCGTATCCTCTGGGAAAATATTTAATGGTGATTTGGGGTAAATTTCAGGGTGTCGCATCATTTTTTTCACTAACCGTCAACCCTCAGATTACTCCAAAATTATAATGAAACCATCAAATCACCCTAAAATTCTTCACTTCTGTGGACTTTAGTTACATATGCATGCATGCCATTAGGCTGACTTGTTCTCAACGAAGGGAGAAGTTATAGCATAATGAAACCTCTTGGTTCTTTTCTTTTTCGAACGCAATCCACATCTGTATAGCCTTTCTATTGCCCACATAAAAGAGGAGAATACAAATGTTTGGCGCCAGTTCGAACTGGGTACGCTTACGATCTTTGGGTGTTGTGAGAGAATGCTTGTTTTGCAATAGAATATACATAAATGCGTATTGAAGTATGCATATATGTGCTTAATGTGTACATATTTATTCGTAGGCATGGAATTACATATGTATGATTGATCGTATCTGAAGATACGAATAATCGCATGGCATACTCAAGACGTCTTGCGTTTGCAATTTGTGTGAATGTTTCTTTTCATTTTGTTCCGGCTTTAAAAAAGCGGATAATGTTTCTCTGTCGTTGGTGAACATGGTTTTAGGCTTTCTCACACCACGACTTTCCGAGAACTCGCCGGAAATGATCATTACCCTCATTATATATAATGAGGGGAAATATATTTCCGCACAACTAATAGTGTGATGTTCTCTGCGTAATTTCCTTGTTATGGAGAATTGTTTTAATTTTTGGGCATTATAAGTTATATGAGTTGAAAAAATCCAGGGCAGGACGTGCGTTTTCTATTGCGAAATATGTACGGAAACACCAGTATTAGCACTTTTACTTTTGTTATTTTCAAAGGCCAGTATATACATATATATATATATATATATATATATAGTGTGTGAAGAGAGTTTAATGAAATGAGTTAAGTGCTAATAAAAGTGTATGGCTTGAAAATACAACTTGAATTTACGTTGGTGTTTGTAGACACTTGACCCAGATGTTTAATTCTTGGATAACACTTCTGTAAATTCCCTTTGGTTCGCGAGTCATTTTAAACGATGACTACTGATTTCTATTTCTTTTTCTAGTTAAACCACAATTTGTATATCCCCTAGTTGTTAATTGGGTTTGATATTTTAAATGCTGCCGGATTAAAGTTCACCATTTCTTAAAATATTTTTTGTCAGCGGTAATATTTTACGTTTGGAATGGCTGCACCAGATTTTCATGACTAACACATCTTAGTCTTCATTTTTTAGTTTTATATGTCACATGTTCTCTACAAGTAGTCTGGTAAGACCGACAAACAAATTCACAGGGAATCGTTACGATTCGTCAGGTCTGCCAGTGCGCCGGGAGAATACAGACAGGATGCAGTTAAAGATGAGTTATCTTGTCAGCTTAATGACCTCAAAAGAGTGCACTCGACAGATATTGCTAGCTGTTAATTAATGGTTTTTTCTATTAAAAATCACGTGTAGTCAGCGATGAGCCACATCTATTATGTGAGGTTCGGCGATATTATCTGGCTACTCAGACCTACATGGGTGGAGTGGGGTTCGAATCCGCGACTAGGTAGTTGAAAGTCAACATCTAGACCAGTTAATTACAACTTCACTGGGACTTGAATGCATGTGAGCTCATGGAAAAGTTGTTTAGGTAGTCACTGGGGACTAGATATTTGTAGGTCAAATAACGGCTTGTCTACTGCAGTTTTGCGCAGATCACAACGTATTTCTAGTTAGCATCGACTTCCGTCATAGATTAGTAGTGCTAACCGGTGTCCTTCTACTTTCCAAGAATAGGCTCAAATAAGTCAAATTGCCATCATAACTATGGTGTGGATGTATGCAGGACTTCGCTCCACCTATGGCACTTGTCTGGATTCTTTCCGTGTTTTACTATAAACTAGGTTTCTTTTGTGCTTTGGTGATCACAAATATCGCTGTAATTAGCTTAGTGGTCAGTGTAAGTATGGTGTTTTGTCCTGTACTGTAGCAAAATTAGCAGCAGCCTGTATATGCACTCAGCGGCAGGTGAATCACTAAAGAAAGTTGAAAAATTCATGTAGGATTTACAGTACTTCAACGGCATGTATTCCTGCAGTTAGCCTGTAAAACCTCATTCTTTGTTTATGATGTGCAATGACACCGAGTATTCGACTATTGCTATCTGCTGCATTTCTTGCATTTGGTGACTTCGTCTTCTGAGTAATTCTGAGATCCAAGGGCTCCTATTTGGAGGTTATTTTTCAGTTAGTTGATGTCATTTTGGGACATTGCTTTCGGTGGCTTAGACTTGTGCTGTGAGTGTCATTCAGGAGGCTTGTATAGTTTTTGCTGTTTACTAGCTTTTAGTATGATTGGAAAAGTGTAAAGACAATCAAACCATTATTTGAAACCTTGAGATAAAGGATAGTCGTGTTTATTTAATGTCTATTGACAGCAGTACTTTCCTAGTGAAGTCTGAGGAATCGTGCAACTTGGTGGCTCGAGAAGTTATTGGATTTTACTTAGAATTTAAATTTTTGGTGAGCATGTTGCGATTTCCTCTAGTCATTTTTTCTGAAGGTAATACGAAGAAAAAGATGCTGTTGATAAGCACACTGACCTGTTTTCATTTTGCTCCTCATATGTGTTGCTTTTGTTTTCCTGTTGACTTTATATCATTTCGTGTCTCGCATTCCTAAGTGCCCATATCGCACTTAATTTATGGTTTCTGTTTGAAGCCATCTGCAGTCTGGTATTATATACATCTATGAGAATCGAGTCGCTCCTTGAAATTCTGAATAAGGAATTGATTTTCCTCTCCCCGATAGAAAGTTTCAGTCTTTATCTACTCTGTGGTGGAATAAGATTTCACGCTTGAATCCGAAGCCGGCTTAACCCACTTCAGCCCGAGCAGCTGTGTACTACCACCTGACCCGCCAAGTTAGATAAGAGAACAGTTACTCGCCTATGACACTGGTTGGTGGTTGCGATGTAAATCGGTATTGGCTCGGGGCTCAGTAGCTGGATGATCCTCGGGCTTACTTTGTAACCGGAAGCTCCTGAGTTCAATCCCCCGTGTGTGTGTGTGTGTGTACTTCTGGAGTTCAAACTGGGACGAAACAGCTGTGCAGTATATCCTATTTTTCTAGTTGTTTCTTATCTGATGTCAGCTAGCGTTCAAACCTGAAGTCAGTGTATCAGCTTCCGGTTGAAGTACTTCATGACTACGTTCGGTTTATTTTGCTAGTTTTAATAAAAGCTTCAAGAGACTTCAGAGTAATTGGTGGCAATTTATTAAGCTTAAAATAGTTTATTTTGGCCATATCATAAACCGTAAAATAACTAAGTATGACTGGTGTCTGTACTGAATTGCTAGGGTGAATTGTATCTTACTTAATCAAGCCGTGTCACGTAGGTTTGTGTACTTGATCGTGTAACATTTGTTTACCACAATAACGATATCACCTTAATATTTAAAATAAAGATAATTTAAGTAAAGTTGATTTCAGTTTTCTTATAATATAATACTAAACATTTAAGTTACTGGACTAAAGCAACACTTTCCACACCATAGCATGCGAAGTCTTAAGAAATATTTCAACAAAAGACATTAAAGCAGTATCAGTTAGTTTTTAAAAGTTAATATAATAATTGCACATTTTCATGTTTATTTTTTATTGTTGTAACATAAAAATAAAACAATTATCAGGTCTATTTTTATTCAATTAGAAATCGAAATGTTACGAACGTCACTTCGTCTGCAACTGTCGAAGTGGAAACTCTTCCATCGGTTGGTCCATTCCGAAGCTGTGACTTACGCTGAACACGGTGAACCCGACCGAGTTCTGCGTTTCTCATCAACTGCACTAAAACCTTTTGCAAATGACGAAATTTTGGTGAAAGTATGTGCAGCTCCAATTAATCCTGCGGACATAAATACCATACAAGGTACTTATCCAATAAAACCAAAACTGCCCGCTGTTGCTGGAGGTGAGGGGGTGGGCAAAGTAAGTGGTATGATTACGTTTGTAATTCATGTAAGATTCACTATATTACTCCATTGTGCAAACGTTCAAGTGATGAATTTATAATATTTATTGTATTCTACACATTTTATTACACATAAAGTTGTTACAAGTGACTGTTAGTATGGATGTGTAACACATTCGATAACATTCTGCATCTTTTCTATTATCTGATCATTATTCTGGATACTATCGGACGCAAAGTCACACTCTTCAAAGTCAAATATGGATCAGTAGAACGAAGAGGCAAATTCTTTGACGATCCTTCTGGGTCTTGTGAAGAAGATCAATCTTTCTTTGCAAAGCGATCGTCTCAAATGCTCTGTGGCTATTTTTCTCGTTATCACTTCATTCTTATTTCCTATTATCAATATTCACCTAATTTTCGGGGTGAAATATTACTACTTAAAAGTAATGAGACAACACTGAGTTCTAGATTGTTTTTGTGTATGTCTCTCCAAGTGATAAGATATGTCCAATCTGACAAAAATCTGCATCAATGTCGCTTTCATTTATACATTTATGATGCTTTTTTAGACTACACCGCTTTTAGCCATTATCAAACCCAATACTCTTCATAATTCAGTTACATTTTTATGTACACTAATATAATAGGTGGTTTTGATTCACACTCTTGAGTAAGGCGTCAGTTAATATATAACACGATGCCTGGTTTTTGCGAATATACTGAAAACTCTTGCCCGTAAATTTATTTTAACAGTCACCAAAATTGAAATCCTGTACTATCATAGATTAATGTCTCTGAAGCTAGATGGTAATGTTTCATATTGCATACTCAGTGTGACGTTGATTCGGATCCTTCAGAGAATGTCGATTCCCTCGAGTTCTTGGGTACTTGTTGGTAATGATTACTAAAGAATATTAAAGCGTGAGTGATTGTTTGTGACCTCACAGTGAACATGAGTGTTGATGTGTTACGTATTAAATGACCGCAATATATATTTACTTGACATAATTCTGCAGCAGGCAGAAATAAACAACATAACATGGACTACTTTTTGATAGCTTACCAGTATACTAGTCCGTTTTATGTTATGGATTTCATTCTAGGGATAATTATCAAGAAATCATGCATCTTGTTTCCTGATATACAAAAACACTTTCTTGAAAGTTCATACATTTAGTCCCCTTAATGAATTTGCACAAGACTCTGTACTATAGAGCAAGGAGAATATGCTCTATAGAGAAACTAGAGGAGGAGTTTGAGTTCCTTGAAAAGATATTGAAGAGAAATGGGTATCCTCAAAAGTTCATCAACAAGTATGGAAGATCTAAAGTCACAAATGTAAAACAAATCACAGTGGGTAAAAAGCCAGTCTACATTCAGCTTGACTATAAAGGTGAAAACATTGCAGCGATGATCAACAGAAGGCTGAGTACATCACTAGCCATAGCCTATCCTGCAGCCAAGCTCGTTCCCGTCTATCGAACAACTTGATGTTTGGTGCAATCAGAAATCGATAGATATCCTTCTCATGTTACCTCCAACTGTATATACAAATTTACGTGTATCTGCGGGAGCAGTTACATTGGAAGAACAGAAAGAAGGGCATATCTACGATTTTCTGAACACGTACCAAAAAGCTTACGTCTAAAGGGAACAAATGCTTTAAACAGTGCCATCGCCAGACATCTCCTCGACACGGGTCATGAGGTGGACGTTGAAAAGTCTTTCAAAATTATCAATAGGCCAAAGAGCGCAATTCTCCTTAAGTTCGCTGAAGCGATTTCTATCAAACGCTTGAAACCAGATCTATGTGTTCAGAAAGAAGCAGTTATTAGTCTTTCCTTGCCTTGGTAACTGGATGCCTTTTTTTCTCTCATCTGATTACGTAATCTTTGTCTTTAACCTCACCCTCCCTTTTATAATCTGTAATTTTGCTTGTCTCTTGGTTCTATGATTTGAGCTCAACTCAGTACATTGTTACCTAACTTACTAGTCACTATGCATCTAACGCACATCTCATCTTTATTACGTAACTCCCTTACCATTTTCTGCATACATTTATTTTGTTTTAACTTGAACTGCCTGTGTGAAAACTATATAAGCGCAATCTTCTGAGCACTGTTTACCAATTGTGGAATTTTCTGTCAACTGACAACATGTAAAATTTGCATGTTAAAACATGTCTGTACTTAAACCTCATAATTTATTTAGGCTGTAAGCAGCTGATGAGAAGCCAACGAAGTAAATGATGGTACCATATTATTCTGCTAAAACTGTAGTTCTTGCTTTCTTGAAAGTCCCTGGTGAGGTCATTCGCATGTGTAATTTCTCAAAAGGTTATTCTCATACTTGTCTACTTATTTTATAACTTATCGGAAATAGCTTATGCTTCTCATTTCTCTTGCCTCAGATTGTTGCATGTGGGAAGAATGTGGACAGTTTTTCTGTGGGTGATTCAGTTATTCCTTTGGAAGTCGCATCAGGCACTTGGCAAACATATTGGTGTGGTAAAGCTGATCGATTTCTTAAAATAAAACATCCTATCCCTTCGTCGCATGCTGCTGTGATGGCAGTGAACCCAAGCACTGCTTTACACTTGCTCAAAAGTTTTGCGGAACTCCAAAAGGGAGATACTATAATCCAAAATGGTGCAACAAGTGCAGTTGGAGTATACGTTATTCAAATAGCAAAAATACTGGGAATTAATACAGGTAAGAGTACTTTTACAATTTAGCATATTTATACTTCTAGTGAACTTGTTTCGCGAAAGAGAAACAACTAAAGCCACTGAAGAAACCCGTGATCTTCTCAAATCTTATGGAGGTACATTGTGTCTCACAGAAGCTGAATATATAGAAAAAGCAAAAGAAATGGGTCCTTTTAAACTTGCTTTAAACTGTTTAGGAGGAAAGCCTGCAACCCTTTTAGTAAAAAGTCTAGATCATTGTGGAACAATGGTTACATACGGTGGGATGACACGTAACCCAATGCCATTACCTGTTGGTCCTTTTATTTTCAAAGACATTCATTTACGCGGTTTTTGGCTGACAAATTTTAACCGACGTCAATCTGCGGCACAACGACAACTTACTATTGATCAACTATCGAAATGGTTCTCAGAGAAACTTATCATACCTTCACCATTCGAAGAAATCCCTTTCAAAGATTGGCGTAAAGCATTGGATATGTCACTTTTTAGTGATTCAATGCCTGCAAGTATCAGGAGAAAAGCTATTCTAATTATGGAATGACACTGATTTGTTGTATAGATTTTCCTAGTCATAGTAATAATTATCTGTAAACTTGCAATCACCTGTGTGTAGATTTTATTCACACTGATAGGTAAATTTTACTCTGGGAATTTAATTTATTTTATTTTTTATTTGGCATTGATTTCAGTGTGACTTATCACGGTGTTTCTTTTTCATTTCAACCTTTGTACAATTTCCAGTATAATGTATGAAATACAAACGATGAGTACATTTATTTCGTCATAGTGGCAACTTGTTAAAAAAAGAAGCATTTCTAATATTTAAAAAGAAATACTATAGGTGTTAATATCAATTAATATTGTAAATAAAATCACAGTATTTCTAGCGCTCAACTTATGGCGATGAGAATTATGCAGTGTTAGTGACTGGCGTTCACTCTTCAGGTTAGCTTACATAACACAGGGATATATTGTAGTTTCTAAATAATAAAGATTCCCAAAGTAACATTTAAATCAATACATGTAAGCGAACAAAATTTGTTTGCAATTAGATCTCATCACGCGCCACTCTAATACGCATAACTACTGAATATTCTTTAAAACACTTAGTCCCTTTGATAAATTTGAATAAGGCATTTAGAAGACAAATTTCTCCAGACCAAGACCATTTCGTAGTGTTTTTTGCAACACCTTTACAACTAGCATGCTTCACAATAATGGATGATGATGGATTTCTATTCAGATTAATTGCACTGGGATTCTCTATGTATTCTACACTGCATCTCTTTCCCTCACATCTTGAACATTTTCGATCCCTATACCTACGGTTAAAGGATAAAATTCTGTGGACTCTACTTCAAACTGTATCTTCAAGTTCACCTGCAGCTGCGGTGACACCTATATGGCTAGAACCAATAAGATGTTCCAATGTTATCGAAAAGAACATGTTCCAAAATTGTTGTTAAAACACAGAAAATCCCAATGCAGTTAATCTGAATAGAAATCCATCATCATCCATTGCAAAGCACTTATTAATATCAGGCCACAAAATCAATATGAATGACTGCTTCACAATTATTTCACCACATAACTCTAATTCAAGGTTGGTTACTGAAGGTGATGGAAGCATTTTGGATTAATCACACACATCCTCAACTATGTGTACCAAAAACAATAGACTTCAACCTTCACCTACCATGGACTACTTGACCTATTTAAATATGATTGGTCATTAGTATGTACTTTTGTTTTATATAATTGAGTAATTGTCATGCATTTTATTTTATTAATGTGGACCATGTTAGCTGTAAAGCGGTTGCAAAGAAACTACGGAATGATATTGTAACGACAAAAGACAGACCAGGCAACAGATTGTTTACTGAGAAAATCAAGAGGTATATATAGATTTTAATGTACATTATTGTTAGCGGAGAAGCAACCTCTTCTGACCGGTTGTTTCTTGCTGAAGGTTATTCCGTTATCTCTTTGTGGCGGTTTCTCAGAAAAGCAAGCCATATATCTGCGAATCATACGCCCCCACTTTAACTCCGCTGTGATTGGCTAGTGATTTTCTCAAGGTTAAGCTTTGTTATATTTTTCCTCGTGACCCTGATTCGGGACGTAACAATGATATAGACTATTGTTTACAATTTTGGCTGGCAGCCAGCTCTCATCGCAATATTATCTTGCAAAATTCGCCTTCCAAATGCACTATTCGTATTGAATATTCTTTGTTCAGTAATCAGTTTTTTGAAATTTCTAATGTCCTTTCTGGTCAGTTGAAACATTAAACATCGCGGTGATTTGTCAAAAGGATCATAAGGTTATGCATATCAATTACGACACTAGTTATAATAAGGATAATTCTATTGATAACAAAGATGAAAAAGTGGAGCGGTTTGTGATAACAAGGACAGTGAAGATCTTCGTGCTTAAGCAACAGATGTTTAGGCCGATGTAGCCGTCAAAGGCTGAGAAGAACAAACAGTCAGATCAAGTAGTGCTAGATTCTACGGGAAGTCAATTATTTTTAACACATCCAATGGGATTATAAGGGATATATATTTATTAATTTTATTGTTCCCTTATGTTCCGAGTGGAGCACACAGCTTCAGCAGCACCTCCCTACTTTTTCCTATTCTTTGCGGTCATCTAAAGCTGGTCCCTTGATTAAACGTAGTCTCCCGCCTCCTCCATGTCACCCTCGGACGCCCAACTCGTTTCCCATTCGGGTTCCACTTGAAAGCCTGTCACTCGACGGTCTCCTCAACCTGTGTCTGATCCACCTCCCTCTTCCTTGGAGTATTTGTTGAGTGATGGTTTCTTGATTGGTTCAATCTCAGTGTTTCTTGTTACTAATTCTTTATGGCCGCTTGATCGTCTGTATGGAGCTAGTGAATGAGGATGTTGGTAGAAGTCGTCAGCAGCTTGTTGGGAATGCTTTCCATAACGTCTGAAGTTTCTGTCCTATATAGACGAACTAACTAAATAGTGGTGTTGAAAATCCGAACCTTTTTGTGTATGCTGAGTGCAGCAGATTGCCAAACTGATTTCAGATTGGTGAAGCTCTGTCTGGTCTTTTAATTATGTCCTTGACGTCCTCATCCGTTCTACCTGTGGTTGAGACGATGCTTCCTAGATAAGTGGAAGATGTGAATTCCCCCAAATTTCTACCGTCGGTAGTGATTGGTGGTTGTTGTTGGTTGGTTATTTTCATCACCTCCATGGCACTTAAAGTCCTGTCTTCGCTCCTTCCGCAGACAAGTTCGTGGTCTTCGAGTATGTATGGCAAGAAGTAAGTCGTCCGCGAAGTAAATGTGTAGAATACTATCGACCCAACATATTCCTGTTTTCTCGCTCCTCAGAATCTTTCGCGTAATTCAGTCCACCATAGTTAGGAATATCATCGGTGATAACAGACAGCCTTGTCGTACTCCTGTATTCACTTCGAGCGCCTCGCTGGTGTTCCGTTGTGGATCACCTGACACGTGGCATTGTCATATAACAAGCTGTTGAATGAGGTTGATAATGACTTGTGGCACTGCATGCCGTAGCGTTGAAGCAGTTTCCAAAGTACTTCACGGTCAACACTGTCTGTGGAAGGCCTTTTCGAAATCGATAAAGTTGATGCTGAGAGTGGTTTGAATGTTATTCTATGCTTTGTTCTGTGATGATGATGCGTAGAGTTGCGATTTGATCAACACATGACTTGCGTTTCCTGAATCTAGCTTGTTCTGGGTGTGGGGTGGAGTTCTGTATCCAGTGCATCTTTCATTCCCTCCAAGATGACGCGACTTAGTATTTTACTTTGCGTGGACAAGGGTGTGATTCCACCCGGTTATTGCAGAAACTCAAGTTTCCCTTCTTCGGTAGTCGGACGAGGTAGTCTTTCTTCCAGTCAGTAAGTACCTTTCCTTCCTTCCAAACCTTTTACAATAATGGCGTATGAATATCCACTGAGATATCTGGATCAGTTTTCAGCGCTTCGGGAGGAGTTCCTTTGTGTCCTGTCGCCTTCCCGACTGGCTGTCAGTAATGTGGTTACATTCGAAACTGCTGCTTTTATCGGAGGATTGCTGTCCACAGGAAGTTCTGTGTCTGTTGTTGGTGGTGGTGTTTCTGATTGAGTCTCAGGTGATGGCTGATTCAAGAGTCCTCCGAAGTGACCAGCCCATTGTTTTATTTGTTTCCCCTCCTTGGTAATCAGGTTCCCTTGATTATCTTTTATTGGTTTCATCTTCTGGGTTCATCTCTTTCCGGACAGGTATCTGGTTATCTGGTATAATGTTCTGATGTCTCTTTTACTTGCTCCCTGCCTGTTCGGCCTGAGTTACTGGTGTATCGTAGAATTGTCTTTTGTATTTCCCAGCGCCTCTCTTCACCTCTTTATTCAATGCAACGTACGTTGAAACCAGATTTTCCTTCTATTGTCCGTCTTTGCATTGAGTCATCTCTTCCACCAACTCCTCTCGCTTCTACTAGCTTCCAGGTATTCGTAGACAACCATTCCTTGTCGTGTCTCTTTTTTCTTCCTAGAACAGTTATACACGTTTCCTCGAACATCACCTTCAGAGAGTTAGTTCAAATGTTCTTCCATACAGGTTTCCTGATTGACACCACGTAGTGTCTCCGACTTCGCTCTGATGGCTGCAGTGAAAGTATCTTCTATAGTTAGGTCTTTCAGTTTCTGAGTGTTGAACTTGATGAGTTGTCTGTTTCCATTTGTTCAGATGTGTTTCAGCTTGATCTTACGGGTTCCTCGGTCCAGATAACAGTCTAAGTTCACATCTTCTCCCCTTCTCGATTTCATGTCCAGGAGACTGCGTCTCCATTTTCTAGTGATTGAGATGCAGTCTGTCTGGCTTTTGGTGTGTCCGTTGGGTGAACTCCATATCGTCTTGTGTTATGTCCTTATGATTGTACATGCTGTTTCCGATCAACAAATCATTGAAGGACCAGAAGTCAGCGAAGTGTTCTCCGTCCTCATTCATTTCATCAAAGGCCTCTCGAGCTGTGATAAATTCTCTCCCTATGTTGTCTGCACTCTTAGTTCGGTTGTCATGCATATTGAGAATGAGGATTTTGATGTCGCCATTCGGGATGTTATGCACTATTGTTTGTAGTTGTCCATGGAAATCTTCCATCTCGGATCCCTGTTTTTTCTACTTGCGTAGCTTTGGGTGATTGTTATCTTCCTTCCTTTTGAGTTGAATCTTGCAGTCATTATTCCCACTGTATGGGAGCTATGGATACTGCTGGTGACCAATATGATAGCTACTCACTGAATGTGGCTATGGTTTTTGTCCGGGTGACCAGAGTAGATTACTTACTCTGCAGTTGATGATTTCAATAGTCCACATCCATTCCACCTGCTCTCCCAGATTCCCAGCATTTCATGCCATACCTTTTTATTTCTTCAGCGATTTCCTGCATTGTACGAATATTCCACATCCTAGCACTTATTTTTGCTGTCATCGAAAGAGGGATATACTGACTGACTGGCTTCCCAAGGGTTTTCACCAGCCCGCATCACTTCGTCTCTCCGATTCCAGCTTTTTATATTTTCCATGTACTGTGGTAGTTTGATACCTGGGGGTAGGGACCCTAGCCTTACGCCCCACCTTCCCTCATTATTTGGGCTTAGGACCGGCTAGAAAACTAGTAGACTATATATATATATATAAACTCATTCTGGGACGAGCTCTGTGGACTAAGGGATCTTACTGATTCGATCAGGTGAAACTATTTCATCTAAAAGATACCGTGCAACGACTGTGAGGCCGGCTACCTAGGTCAAACCGTTATGTCAGGGTCAATCGGTGTGTCAATATAATTGGAGAATGAGTGATACCATTAAAATGAGTAATTTTGAAGAACTCAACAATTTTAGTGCATGCACTAACATGTAACTGCACAATAGGGTGGGACAAGGCTACGGCTCTAAAAAGTAAATATATATATATATATATATATATATATATATATATATATATATATATATAATATAGGTGGAGGGAGACGTTGACCACTAAGCCTTTTGTTTATCGAATATACAGCCAACACGTGCAACGTTTGAATTATGAAATTCTTTCTGCATCACAGGTGGTCTGTAAAATTAACGTACAATCCAATTTCTTGAACTCGAGTTAGTCTTTTTAAGAAAATGTGACTGTTGTTTCTCAGAAATACTAAGGGGAAGTCATGCACAAATATCATAAAGAGGGCGCTGATGCTCAAAATATTACGTAAACTAAAGTTCACTCTAGCATCAACATGTGATTTTAAAACATTTATTTCCCGATACGAATTTAAAACAAGCAATAAAGGTTAATAAAGCAGGATTTAATGAATTCATCAAATTTCGGTAGAACTCGTCAGCTGAATACTCTACATAC